AATTTACTGAACAACTTTTTTTATATAAAATTTTTATCAAATATAACAAAATTTATAATCCAACAAAAATCTCTTAAAACTTTATTACAAAACTTAACAATTTTTTATACAGTACTTTCTTAATAAAGCGATCCTATGACCAAACAGCCCTATAGGAAGCTCAAAAAAGTCTATGACATGCCTTCCTTTGTCCCCAAGTTCGGCTTCTCCTTTTTAACCCGAAGCAAAGGCACCAGCTAGCTTCATCTTCCTCAAGCTCCCTTCATCTTCCTTAAGCTCCCTTCATGTCCACCAAAATCCTCTTGTCTTCTTCGAGTCACGGGTTCGAGAAAGAATGCCAGGAAATTCATGATTCAAGGGGAAGTTTGAGCCAGCTGCTCCGGGTTTTGGATGCCCGGAGCCATCATGAATGTTGGAAAATTAGAGAGAATTACAAGGAGATTTATGGGGAAGACTTGATTCTTCTTTTGCAGAAGAAGAAAAGTAATGAGAATATAGCCCTGGTAAAGTGGTTGCTTGATCCACATGAGAGAGATGCCACTATTGCTAGGGAAGCTCTTGAGCATTGTGATCCTAATTACATTGCCCTGGTGGAGATTTTCACAGGGCGAAAATCAAGCCATTTCAGCCTCATCAAACAGGTCTATCAATCAAAGTACAGAAGGCAGCTTGATCAGGATATCATCAATATTGAGCCTCCCCACCCTTTCCAAAAGGCAAGTTTCTTATAACTCTCTCCGCAATTAGTATAGCCTTAAAACTTCGTTTCTAAAGCTTCTACATGGGAATTGAATATTTATATAATATATAACAGATTCTAGTAGCATTAGCTGCATCACACAAGGCACATCATACAGATGTTAGCCAACACATTGCGAAATGCGATGCCATGAGGCTTTTTGAAACAGGGGAGGGAAGACCAGGCACCATTGATGAAGCTGTTGTGCTTGAGATTTTTACTAAGAGGAGCGTTCCACAGCTGAAGCTGACTTTTTCTTGCTATAAACATATCTATGGACATGACTACATAAAGGTAACTTGAAAAAGAAAAACATGATGTGCCTATTTCTATTTGTTTCTACACCTGAGGAAACTTTCTCCTTAATCTCCATCTTCTCCAGGCAATCAAGAAAGAGACTTCAGGGGAATTTGAAGATACTTTGAAAAGGGTCATCAAATGTATATGCAATCCGCCTGAGCATTATGCAAAGGTAAATCCCCTGCATCAGAAAATTAGAATAGCATAGCATGGCTCAAAAGAATGAGCTTGAGGGAGATTTTCCCTTTTTGGTTGCAGAGTTTGTTCTTGAGCATCAAAGGGATGACAGCAGATAAAAGCGTGCTGACGCGGGTGATGGTGAGCAGGGCAGAGCTGGACATGGATGAGATTCAGAAGGTTTTCAAGAGAAAATATGGAATGGAACTCAGAGAGGCAATATGTGATAGCATCCCATCTGGGGATTACAGAGACTTCCTTGTTGCTTTAGCTTCTAAAACAGCACCTAATACAAGTATTGGAAACAAAGAATAGTTGCTTTCACTAATATTCTTGAGCTATGCTTTCCCTGACGTAAGTTTTACTGATACTACATCACCTTGCCCCTGTTTTACCCTTCACTTCTCATTGGCTTTTGGGGCAATGCATATACGCAACAGCAATACATTAAAGTGTCAATCAAAGACCTTTTTGACTTATAAGAAACGATTCAATGATTGTACTTGTATGAGGTCTTTCAGTTGATTCCAAGGACAGAGTGTGTATTTAAATTGTACAAGTTTGAGCACTAACTTCTATTACCTTTTTAAGGTAGGTGTTGTGCATGGATACTTCATCTTTTTCTGTCTTGTATGATGCCATTATCTTGGTCTGATTAAAAGCTAAGTTATCAACATCAAGATTAAGAAATTTATGAAAATTACTGCACTATTGACCTTGTCAAAGAATAGACTATGGCCAACTAAGTAGAGGGCAAACCCCTTACTAACAATTACTAGCTAATCACACTACTATCCCTTGAGTAGCTAAGATGTTATTATGAGTAAAATGCTTAAAAGGGATTTCATTTTTTTTTTCAAAGGAAATTGCTTGATTTTTAATCAACCTACGAAGTAAGAGATAATTAGTTCACTGCATTTGTAAGTTACAGAAGATATTGATGTCTATGAAAAGCAAGACATAGAAATCCAAAGTAGAATTGCTGTTCTTGCAACCTGCAGGGTCACTTCCTTCACCTTTCTCTATATGGTCTATGGAAAGAACCTTAAGGGTTAAACATGTCTGTATTTCAGCTCGGGCATCAATGAATCAACACGGTGATCACCAAGAAGGATCACATCATCTATTGAATAGAAAATTTTGACCATCTAGTTCATTCTATATGTTATGAATTAAAACTAGAATTAGAGGGAACTTAAAATTCTTTAAATTGCTTTGTTTCTAGAGTGAATGTGAAAGAATTCTCAATGAATATTAGAAGTGCTCCGTAAAAACCGAAGATAACAGCAAAGGAAAGTCATGATGTAATCTCCTAATCTTCCATGACAAAAGGATGACCCTCCTCAAAAGAAGATGAGAGGGATTAACCTCACGATTATCCATAAGTAAATAAAGTGATAAAATTAACGTTGAAAAAACAAATTGCCGAGTGGATGCAGATACTGGCTAACAAGAACAAAGTTTTTCCTTTGTTGCGAAAAAACATAGTTATAAAAATGGTTTTAAATATATGTAATTAACGATTCAGCATAATGGTTAAAAGAATAACCTGATCGAATAGAAAATTCCACAAAAGGTTGAAAGAAATTAAATTGTTCAGGTTAAACAGAAAACATTCAAAAGCCACAGCAGAAGCCAAGGAACACATTAATAAAGAATAAAGCTTGCAAAATTATCAACAGATATCTCTAGAAGAAAGTTGGATTGAACCATTTAACCACCAGGCATCAAAAAAAATTTTTTTTTGTTACGTTAGATAATAAACTATATAATAAGAGATAACTGTTTTTTACTTATATCTCTCCTCACCCATCTCAAGATTTGGATTGAAGATTTTTGATATGAAAATTTCAATTCTTAATCATTGAAAGGACTCAAGTTCTTAATGATTGGGATATTCCCTGAAAGACTCAGGTGCCAAAATACATAATAAAATGTTTAATACTCTCACAATGATATAGAAGAAAGCTAGACTTATATATAGAACAAAGGCAGATTGCATCATAAATTTACTAGTACAGAAAACTTTATGAGATCAAGCAAAACAAAGTTTCTCTTTGATCAGCAGAAGCAATAACAAGTAAACCTGAGATGCCAATGTAAAGGATGTTATACTTTCCAACAAGGAAAGCTAAACCTTATTGAAGAGGAAGATATACCAACTGTATCACAAAACCTGATGCAGCAAAGATATCGCAGCAAGTATATCAGATTCACTGATTCAGTATACTCTGAATTGAAAAATCTGTTATGTACTTGATAGTATGCACGAGAGAAAGAAGTGCTAGATTAACTACTATTTTCTATTAAAGGTGATTAGAAAGCGAAATTAAAGAAATCAGATATCATAATAAGTTTTTCGAAATAATCTATTTATTGAAACAATCAAGTTCCAAAAAGGGTCATCGAGGTGCAATTTACCAGCAGCTAAACTGATATTATTCAGGGCTTCATTATAATAGTCCCTTGAAGTCAAGGTGCAAAATTCAAATCCATGTCCAATCATGGTTGTGGTTCCTCGCTCTTATAATTGACTAATTACACCTCAGAGTGAACTAATCCCGGACATATATTAGATATACAAAAGGCATTCTAAGATAAATAAAAGAATTCATAGTGAAGTAAGCTGCCACTTATCAATGGCTTAAGAGAAGGAAACATGCAATTTATCCATGAACTTTCTGCTGAAAATTCACCAGTTCGAAAGAAAAAGCACAAAAGCCACAATTACAAGGAAAGAAATAAATAATGACGGCCATATGCTACAGTTTACAACAAAAATGAATCCATAAATAGATCAACATTAGAAAATAATCCATGTTAATATTAACTATATCATTGATGTATAGTCTAAAAGCTGTTTTGCCGTAATATTTCCATTATGGAAAATAATAAAAACAATAAACAACTTTTACACTTTACGTGCAAGTGTCCTTTGCTTTGTTGCATGCTGAACTACTTTTTCTTCCACAGGGAGACCCTTCCTCCGCCTCACAGCATCAATCAGTTTTCTTGCTGTATTAGGAAGAACACTAGAACCATCTCCAAATTCTTCTATCTCCTCTTCTGTTTTGGGTACAAAGAAAGGGTCCTCAGATAGTGCTTCCCAGTGGCTAAGTACAAGAAGCGCACTAGCTGCACCTGATGTCCATCTCCTCAGCTCATCAGCAAAACCAAAACTCTCAGAAACGGGCACATAGGCATGCACGGTAAAAAGTGGAGAGCCTTCCTGCATTTCTTCCTTCAAAACTCTGGCTCGCCTCCGAGAAAGCACAGCATACATAGAGCCAAGATATTCAGTTGGAGTATTCAACTCACAAAAATACATAGCTTCTACAAGTCGGGGTTTTCTCTGAAGTACAGCTGCTCTACAGGCATCCTTGACAGCTGTCATAACCTGTCCAGTGAAAAGGCCATACTGCTCAGATTGTTGCATAACTTCTGACTCCTCAGGCTGTGCAGTCAAAGGAGAAATATATGCTTCAATGACAAAAGCCAAACCCCACATTGGTTCCTCACATAAGGGGCCAGCTGCAGCAGCAAGTTGAAAACCAGATAACACACTGCTTTCAAGGCTCTCTGCTTCCTTATACAATGATTCAATTACTTCTGAAGATGTATCAGCAGCCAAGTCACCAGAACTGGAATTTTCCGCAAAGCCCAATCTCACAGAAACATAAGGGGAACCCCGTAAAAGAACAGAACACTCACTATTGTTTCTTTTGTAATCTGGAACCAAGAGAATGTTTGGACCAACCTGTCTTGGACCAAGTGCCCAGATCCTGCTAAGCAACTTGAGCCACTTGGCCTTGCATTTCTCAGCCCTATCCTTGTCATTTTCATTTCCAGACACCATATCAACCTCCACAGCGTCAACCATGCGTTTTCTAAGAGTATCTTTTGGATTCTCATCTTCTCCGACACTTGATGCCTGTATTTCTAAGCTTTTACTACTCTGCTCCAGCTTACCTCCAATAATATTTCCAAGCAAATCAGCACTTTCATCAAGCACCTTAGTTAATGTAGGGGGAAGTTTCATGACTTCAACTCGGATGGTACATCGCCCATTTGGTGTGATCTTCTCAACATAATCTGAGCTACTACTTAACTGTTTCAGATTCTCTAATGGATTTGATAAGTTGCCTTCACTGGTCTCTTTATAGGATACAAGAGGTGGGGAGACTTCCAAACTCACCTTTGCAAATCTATCCTTCAAATCTTTTATGCATCTTTCAAGATGAACTTCCCCAGCGGCAGCTAGGACATGTTCCCCTCTAGATGAAACAGTGACCTCCACAAAGGGATCTGCTCGGTTAAGAAGCCTCAGTCCTTTCATCAGAGCACCAATATCTGCTGGATCAGATGGCTCAATTGCAACCCTCAGGGTGGGGGCAACCTGGAATGCCATACTTGAGAAAGGCCAACTGTTTCTTGTGGATGAAAGAGTGGCAGTTTTTAAAATATGCTGGCCAAGTCCTCGAATTGCCACAATATTCCCTGCTTTTGCAGAGGCCACTGGTTTTAGACCTTGACCCATCATCAGATATAAGGAATGCAACTCTGCTTCCTGTATATGCTTCTGCATGGATTCTCCTCTCAAGGGATCATAGAGAGCTGAAAGCACAAAAACTTTCTGTCCTGATGAAAGAATGCCACTAAAGATCCTAGCAAATGCAAGGAAGCACTCATCTGATTCCCCATTCCCACCTTCATCAGTGAAATTGCTCAAAATCTCACCACATGGACCACGTTGAGGCAGCATCTTCATTGGCACAGCAAACATCTTGGACACAAAAGCAACACAAGGTGCTCCAGGATTAGAATCACAAGCTTCAATAGATTTTCTCACATGATCTGCCTCTGCTAGCAGGTTAGGGTCAATCACTTTATTTATAATTTCTCTTTTAGGAAGCAAACGTGAAATTCTAAAAGATTGGGCTGCAATAGGATCTGGCATGCACTTAACCACCATTGATAAGATTGTATCTGACAGAGGAAGCCACCTGCTCATGACAGCTTGAAGCAAAACTTTTGGATCCTTATTCTGCAGATCACGATGTGGTACGGACAAATTAAATGACTTAACCACTTTTTCAAGCACTGCTTTATCCCCATCAGGCTCCAGAGCAGCTTGGTAAACCTGCCAAAGTGGCTCAAGAACAAACTGTACAAACATAGGTCGAGCCTTACTAGCTCCACCCAATCCCTTTTTTCCCACAATCATCTTGGTTTTTGAATTAAAATACCGAGGTCCCCACAAAGCCTTCTGAAGTGCCACTGCACTAGCTCCAAGCTTTGAAGCATAAAATTCGGCAAACTCATGAATCCCAAACCCCCACCCATCCAACGCACACACAAATGCAACATTCCCCTTCTGGGGTTGAAAAGTGTCCTCCTCATCATCCTCTATAAACTCAATATTTTCATCACCTACCCCACTAGTAGGTCCAGCAAGAATTGAATCAACATCAGATAAATATTTTTCCGACTTATACGCACTCATAATCCCATTGACCTCATGAACTATCCTCAATAACCTGTTATACGCTTCTGCTGGACTCAACCTTAACTCACAAATCAACCTATCAATCTTGTTAAGCACTAAACAAGGTGTAACCTTCTCAATCCAAGCCTGACGCAGTACAGCATGCGTTTGAATATGGACACCCTCAACAGCATCAACCAAAACTAATGCACCATCACTCAATCGAGCAGCAGTAGACACCTCACTACAGAAATCCATATGACCAGGGGAGTCTATGAGGTTAATAGCATAATCTTTGTAGTGAAGAGCAATGGAAGAACTCTTCATTGTTATAGCCCTCCTTTGTTCTTCATCAAGATAATCCATAAATCTAAGTTTCCCAGCTAACTTAGGATGAAGCACACCACCACCCGTGGCGGCAATGAGATGGTCAGCAAGAGTAGTTTTACCATGATCAACATGAGCCAGTATACATATATTCCGAATTTTCCTAGCAACAGAGTCACCCATTTTCCTCTAAAAGTAAAATACAGTGTTTTGAACAACAAAACTGAAACCAACCCAAAACAACAAACAAATCCCTTATTTGAATCTTGAAAAAGAACCAATCAATATAGGTGAGTAAGGTTATAAATTAACTTCAACAAAAGAAACGAAGTGGGTTTCTGGTAAAGCTATGATTTTGATGTCTGTTGGGTTCTTTTCTGTGGAAAAACCTGTGTATGATGGTGCTTTCACTGTAGAAATTATTCAATAGTACTTCTCTAACGAGCATATCTAGGTGTATATAAAGAAAGAGGGAAAGAACGAAGGTACCCTTTTCTGCTTGCTTCTTTGGTTGCCGGAGAAAAATCGAAAGAATGTCTGAAATCTGCGCGGAGAAGAAATTTTTAAACGGCGAAGCTGTGCTCATATTCAAGGTTCTAGGGATTTCTAAAGGGGGAAAAGTTACGGTTAGGCCTGAACGTAGGAAAGCCCAATTTCTTTTTGGGTTGAGTTGAGACTCAGAAAACCTACCCAAGCGTAGAATTTTTTTTGAACAGTACTAAAAATTAATATTGGTAAGCCTTAGCCCAAGATCTAAGAGCATTTTCACCTGAAGCTCAGCTGCATTGTTTTTTTTTTTTTTTTCATCAAAAGAAAATTTTATTATGTTGGAGTATAAGGGGTATTCTTATTCATTTAGTTTATATTTTACTATTATAATTTAAATATCTATTATTTTGAAACACAATTTCAGATAAATAATCTATTCATACAATAAAAACCCATATCCACCAACTCTATTTTTTATCCACAAAAAGGCTTTAATTTTAATTACCTCCACTAATCTATCAACATTCATCTCCACCTTTTTAAAGATCACTTGCATTGTTTTTCTTCTTTCAAAATAAAATAGAGCACAAATTGAGGCAACGATTGAGCAAAATAAAGCACGAACAGTAACCAAGCTCGACTCTCTAAATAGAGCTGAGTTTGTTCGAAAAAATTTGTCCTAAAAAGAACAAAAACGATGTTGTTTTGGCTATTTTTCATTAAAATTCAACAGTAATATTAGACTTTCCTGACATGTGCATGTCAAGTGATGGCTTTGTGATTTTTTTTTTTGGTACGAAAGGCAATTATATTAATAATATAAATCGAGACTAGTTTACATGGCGGTACATAGTAACACCAGCCAGATGCTGGCAGTAAACAAAGTTACAAAAAGATGGAACAGAATCAAAAGAACATTAAGGGTTCCTCCAGGGTGGAACCAAACTTGGCCAAGGCGTCCGCCACTCCATTTCCTTCTCGGTAGGTATGAAGAACTTGGACCTCCTCAAGTAGAGGGATCAACAATCTTCAAGATTTAACAATATAGGACGTCGATGAGTGCTGGAGATGCTATCCTGCTCAACAAGGACATGCACAGAAAACATCGAGCCAGTTTCTATGATAAGGTTCCTAAAGCCTTTTGTCAATTGTGATCTCAAGACTTCTTTTAATAACCCACAATTCTGCCGTGTTATTTGTTCCAATTCCTAGCTTGATGGCAAACCCAGTGAATCAAAGACCATTTTCGTTGCGGAAGACACCTCTCGTTCCAGAGGAGCCTAGGTTTGACAGTACTGAGCCATCTGTGTCAACTTTTTCATAGGTTTATTTTCTTTTATTTCAAATAAATCTTTGGGTTAATCTTAGACTCTTGAATCATGTATTAAAATTTTCAAGTCAAATATTTACTTTATTTATTAAATTTATTTATGTAGATTAGTTTTTTCTTAATTTTTTATTAAAATACTTAAAAGTATCAATTTTTTTCCAAAACGCCAGGGGCTGTCAGGGACCACGGCCCCTGCCCTCATTATATCCCCGTCCTTGGGTTGAAGGGAAAGTTTTTTCCTTCCAAATATGTGAGAAAAGTTTGTTTATTAAAAATTGTATTAAGGGAATAAACGTTAAAAATGTTAATTATATTTTTTATTTGTTGTAGTTCTAAAATATGAAAATTATAAAATGCCCTTGAACCTTCTTGGGCAAGGAGCGAGTTTCCTTTACATGCTTAACATGCCTTTAAGGGGTGTTTGGTTTACTTTTCCAAAAAATGCCTCATTTCATGATTTTGTGAGGGTATTTTAGTACTTATATTTCTCAAAGCTATAAAAAATAGAGTGTAAAAGTAGAATTTTTTAACTTTATTTTCTCTGACACTACCCCAACTAATAAACATTTCTTTTTTATATTTTTTAAAGGAAAATGATTCTTACAATTTTTTTATATTTTTTTTTAAAAGCAAAAAAATTTTATCATGTGAGTACAAGGGATACTCAAACTCATTGACATCATTTTATAAAGTTATATCTAAGAAGTAGATAAAAAACAAAATCATAGGATTGTCCCAAAAAGGAAACATGGAATTCAGCTCCCCATCTAAACTCTATTTTCTATTTGTAAAGCATTTTACTGGATTGAAAATCTATTTTACGAAAGAAAATTTTTTTAATTTTAATAGAATTCTAACCGAATGAAATGAACATGTTTGTATAAGTTCAAACAGCTTGTCCTCATTTACCTCTACAACTTTTTTTATATGAAACTCATTTAATAACTTCTTTTTTTTTTTTTTATCAATTTTACCTATACTTATCCTATATCAATTTCTTATAAAATAAAACAAATTTAACATCCTAAAAAAATATTATTACAAACTTATCAATTTTTTATACAATACTTTTTCAATTACTTTACCAATAAACATTATATTTAAAAAATTACCTTTAACCAAATACACTGTAACCAAATTAAACGATTACATAAAGTAAATAACCTTCTCTTCCAAATATACTTTTCCAATTATACTCCTATGTTCTAGCTGCCTCCTATAAAGTATTCATGAAGATCGATCTAAACTAAAAAAATTGGTAAATTAGATAACAATTTGTCCTCATTTAAAAAAATGAAAAAGAACCGCTTAACATGTAATCATGTCTTGTAGGAAACATCACTTGCATGTGTCATGCAAAGGCCAAGAAAGGGTTATGAAACAAAGAAGGAATAATGAATCACCGTGGAGAAAAAGTAGAGCCAAAGAGGCAAAAACTAAGCTAATCGATTTCTTTTGTTTACCAATAAAAACTATCTTAGAAAATCACCTTTAACCAAATACACCGTAGCCAAATCAAACTATTACATAAAGTAAATAACTCCCCTTCCAATTATACTTTTCCAATTATACTCCTAAGTTCTAGCTGCTCCCTATAAAGTATTCATGAAGATCGATCTAAACTAAACAAATTGGTAAATTAAATAACAATTTGTCCTCATTTTAAAAAAATGGAAAACCGTTTAACATGTAATCGATCATGTCTTGTAGGAAACATCACTTGCATGTGTCATGCAAAGGCCAAGAAAGGGTTATGAAACAAAGAAGGAATAATGAATCACCGTGGAGAAAAAGTATAGCCAAAGAGGCAAAAACTAAGCTAATCGACTTCCTCTGAAACTAGAAAAGAATATTTCTTTTTAAAGTTTCAATAAAAAACTTCAAAAGGAAATTAACCTCTCTTGATATTCTCTCTTTTCTTTCAATTATATAAATAGCGTGCAATATTAAAGGGTACACAACATTTTGCTCAAGAATTTCTTGATATTTTTGGTCAAAGAAACAGAAGAAAACGACGGTCCCTTATGGCAACCAAAGTCTGGTGGAGGCGCTCTTATGAAGAATTTGAGCCTCTCTGCGAATGGGGAAAAGATGAATGTTCTAAAACTGTTGACCTCCATTTGCAAGGTATTCCTTCTTAGATCCCTTTCTCAGGGAAAAGCAATTCATTTTCTCATGAATTTTTCTTCTTTTTTTAAGAAATGTTATATATATTCTCTTCTTAAAGTCCATTAATTGAGACCTTATATTTTATTTGGATACAATTAAGCTTCTACTTGTTTTCTAACATCCAAATTTGCCCTGAAACTCTATATATTTTTTGTTTCCAAAATAAATTAATTTAACTAACTAAATATTTTGTTTAGATAGAGTTACCTACAAACCACTTTGTCCAGAGACACTAAACATACAGTATATAGCGTGGATCAGTGTTAATTAATACCTTATCTTTTTCTCTTTTGCTTCCTTTTTATTGCATGTGGAACACCATAATAACGCTCTGCTTGGACATTGGAATCAAGGTGCAAGGAAAATTAAGTCGAGGGAAAGTTTAATTAAGACTTATTATACAAAGGCAATTATGCTTGATTAATTATTGGACCTTGATTGGTGCACACCCGGATCCAACACCCGGGTGTGCACCCCCACATAAAAAAAAAAATTGAACCGGGTGGTGATGGGCTTTTTTTTTTTTCAAAGAGGAGTGTGCACACCCGGATGTGCACATATCATTTTCCTTAATTATTACATTAGCAGTACTAAATTTGAACAATTTTGAGGATACTAGAAATTAATACATGGTGTTTATTAGATTCAATCGAAATATTAGGACTTAATTGTACATTTAAGAAAAAGTCCAACAGGTTGATTAAGGTTATTCCTTAACCTTGGTTGTAGGTTTCCAAAAGGAACAAATGAAGGTTATGATTAATAATGCGGGCATCCTATCCATCACCGGCGAACGTCCGTTGGAAGGAAACAAATGGAGGCGTTTCCGCAAAGAAATCAAAGTCCCCGATGACATCAAAACCAGTGAAATAAGGGCCAAGCTTACTTCCGGCGTCCTTCGCATAACAATGCCCATAAAACCTCCTCAGGCTCCCCCTCATGATTCTTCTGCAGGTATTAATGAAAACAGTGGGAAGAAATGTATTGCTTGTTTACGGAGGCTTAGCACGAGTAGAAGACTGGCGGTGGTGACGTTGCTGGTACTTGCTGGTGCCTATTGCTTTAGCAAATATTATCAGCGGCGTTATTACATAGAAAATTGATTGCAGTATTTGCTGTGATGTGAAGATGTAAGGAAAAGATGATGATAAGAACAAATCATTTTTTTCATCAGAGAATAAATAATTATTTGAGTTTTATTGGAGAATAAATGAGTATTTAAGATCTTATCTCAACTAATAACTACTAGAGTAATGATTAATACACCCTTTAATTTAACATATTCTACAACATTACATTCGTTAAGAAATTATTATTTTCAATTTTGAATGAAAACTTAAGATTATAAATTTTAATGACTAAACTAATCATTGTTATAAAATGTGTTAAACTGAAAGGTATACAAATTATTTTTCAAAATAAAATATAATTGGTATACATTCAAAACTCTAATTACTAGTGTTTGGAAATCAATTTTTATTGAAAATTTTAGTAATTAAATAATGTACAATAATCCTAATCCTAATTAATAATAAACCATTGCCATTGTGATAATGACAGCAACTATTGCAAATGCAAGCTGCATAATTGTAGTCTCTTTAGCAGCCATTGATGTGTAATGTTCCACAGGCGGCCATGCTGGAGAAGGAGCGCAGCTTATTGGAGCACTACTTGGAGCAACTGTGTCGACGGGTATTACAAGCTTTCGTCCATTTTCGTAATGTTCCCCTACACCACAAATGTACCATTTTCTCCCAGGAGTTGCCAAAGAAAGACAAACAATAATTAATTTGAAATAGATGGAGTATCTTCAGAAAAAAAAAAAAAGTGTACATATGAAGAAAGAGAAGTTTATTTTTATTTTTATTTTTTGTATATTGGAGAAGTTAATTACTTGGCAATACAAGGGTTTGAACTCTTAACTATGACCTTAAATCAAGATTTTTAAATTAGTGCATAACAATTCGGTCAAACTATTTATGGTTGAAGAAAGATTAGTTATTGTGAAAAGCTTTTAGTTGATTTAGAATTTTGATTGAACTGCAATTTCCCAATACACTTTCAGCAAAAGCATTAGCTGATTTACAATTTGGTTGAACTCATGCAGTTTTTCAAGTACGCACCTGGGGCAAATAGTGTACTTAAAGTGAACGGAAACTCCTTGCAGAACTGCACAAAGGCACCAAGTGAGGCAGACTATTAGGTTTGACACAATTTTTGACACATACCCAATTTAGTCATTAAAATATAGTATAAGTGCAATTAATTTTGCTAGTTCTTGTATCTTGCATGCATAACTGTATCTTTAAGTTTATTTACATTAATTTCATATTATAACATAATAAATTTTTAATAAATGTATTGTATAGTATGTTGAACTAGTGAATGTAGTAATCAGTCACTTTTTTCTAATGAGATTTTAATTTTATTTCATAAAAAAGCTTGTTGTTATATATATGTTAAATGTATTTATACATTTTTTGATGGCTGCTAATAGCTACGTTATCATAGTGAATTTTTGCCTTTCTACTATTTTCACTATCTACTATCAATAACCTTGAATAGCCTTGAATAGCGGTCACTTTGCTAGCCACCATACCATGGATTTTTGTCCTGCCACTATTGACGGCTACCCGCTGCTAACTACTGAGTAAACTTAATATAGAATCACCGGTGAACATTCTGCAATACCAAAGAAATCTGGGGTTAAAAAAATGATTAAAGGAAAGAAGAGGCAGAAGGGAACTTCAAAAACCAAGTTTGAAGAGTATTTCGAAATGAAGGTGCCTGGTGCTTCCATATCTACTCAGGAGGATTTGGAACTGGTAAGGAAACTAGCTAAGAAACTGAAGGTGAAGGATGGTAGATTAATGGGAGATGATAGTCTCAGTGCATTACTTGAAGGAATCCCATATGTTCTAGATTCTTCAAAGAAGATGTCCAAGATGGTGGAGAATTTTCTAATGAGGGGTTAGTGGATATCTCTTGTAATCAGAAGTGTAAAAGGAAGAAAAAGTCAGTGGAGGAAGTGGTTGAAGATGAGAATGTAGGTGATTCAAGGGCTGCAGATTCTGTGCTGGATGATTCTTGTGGGGCGGATGTGGCATAACATGCTAGAGGCTTCTGCCAAGGCAACTTTCCGGAAGAGCTGTAAGAAGAGAAAGACTCAGTTTAATAATTTTAACACATCTACTATACACTTAATAGATGAGGTTAGTCATGGTGGTCTAGCAACCACCAAGGTTAGGCAAACAAATATAGACTCTATATACGGGCTTATTGGGTTAGAGGCCAACTTTATCAAGAAAGTTTTAACTGGAAATTGCAAGATATCATATAGAAACTTACTAAAATTAATAAGTCCTATAATAAAATTTTGTCGAAATTTTATTAGTTTATTAACTTTTTAATTTTTGATAAGAAATTAATATTAGGAAAGTAAGGATAAAGTTGTGAAATGAATCTTACATTAAAAAGGTTGAAGGGAAAGTTTTTCCCTTCCAAATGTGAGAAGAAAAAATTACTTATTAAAAATTGTATTAGGGAAAACAAAGGTTAAAAATGTTAATTTTATTCTTTTTTATTGTAATTTTAAAGTGTAAAAATTCTACAATGCCCTTTGAACCTTACAGGGTAAGGAGGGAGTTTCCTTTCCATACTTAACATGCCCCAAGTGTGTATTTGGCTTGGACCCAAATCAAATGATTACACAAAAGAAAATAC